CTCCAAAAAGAAAAAAAGAGTTCATCCTGTTAACAGAAAAATAAACAAAGCTGCTATAGGAGACTAGTATTGTCTATTTTATAAGAGCATTAATGTTTATTAAACAAAATGCACTTGGTTGCCAATTCAGCACTAAAGCAAGTGWAAACTGGTTTGCAGTTTCTGATACCAGGCTTCCAAGGCTGTTAGCAAAATATTACAATTTCAAATCTAAATGCTACTTTCAAACACATTTCTGTTTGCCCTTGGTGAACCATATTTTCCAACTACCTCTTTGCCATGTTGACTGAAAGAGCAGTTCACCAGTAGCGTAATTTCTAGGAAATAAAGCATATTGACTGAAATTGCTTCTCTCCTAATCCTGTTAAAGGAAACCGTTTGCAAGATCACAACTATGTGTGTCTACCAGCTACCTTTCCCATCACAAATCCTTTAATCAGTACATTGCAAGAACATTTGATAGCGAGGTGCATGTCTCAAACATACTGATTTTGGTTCTTCCACCACCTCCTTCTTTGTTTTTCAAACTAAAACTAATGAAAAAATCTAAAGATAAATTTGTTATTTTATTAACACTGAGAATAGCTGCTTTCACAGATTTTCACATATACAGGAACTAAAAAAGTAAAATCCTTACTTTGACCAGCAAAAGACTCCAAAGCTTGATCAAGGGCCATGTAAATTGAAATGTTAACTGAAACAAGTTAACTTGTTACTGACTTCAGTGGCCTTCAGATCAGAACTGAAGCTTTGTAAGTTTCCTCTTGTCCTACGCATCTTAAAACTAGAAATGTAATTATAGGAAATAAATGTAACAAAAGCATATTTTTCATTTATCAAATATATTACAAGGTCTGCTTATAATATATTGACAGCAACACAATACCAAAACATATCACAGAATTTTAGCATATGTATAGACTGTCTAAACAAGAGATGAGGACATTATCTCCTGTGTACATGAAGAGYTTTTTATATCTGTTCTATCGCAGCGCTGAAGTAAGCACTTGGCAGCCTCAGTCATCCTGCACAGCAACAATATAAACAGATGGAGACAGAAGGCCTTTCAAAGCTGACAAACATAAGCACCACCACTTTTAACAGCAATCAAAACTATATTTGCTCATGGCAGTTATCAGAACCTATTCAATATTTTCTGATTTCTGAAGCAGAATCATAAACATTTAAAAGGCTCAGGAAAAATGCCTAGCAGTCTGAAATGCTGGTGGACTCGTTTCAATTGTGAAAAGTTCTTAAATTACCTTTTCATGAGAATACTAACAACTTCCATTAAACTGAAGAAAAATGGACTTACACTAATGCCAGAATTTGAGTATAAGAATGGTACCTTCTTTCAGAAGTTCTGAACAAATACAAAAAATATCTTACGAATAAACACATTTCAACTTTATTTTGCCTAATTGCTTTTTTTTTTGTAGTAATACTTTAAATTTGGAAAACAAGCCTCTCATTTTAGACTAGCATTTTATAGAGAATGTTTCTACTATGTTGAACTTAGGTTTCTACCTTACTTGCACAATTAAGAGTTGTCCTGTTTACAGTGCTATGCAGGCAAAAAAAGCTACTGTTTACACAGGAACAAAAGTTGCTGAAGCCACARCTGAAGCAAATTAACAAGGGAAGAAAAATTAAGGGATTCATAGGTCTGTACAAGAACTTTAAACTGTTGACTACCTCTTAGCCCTCAAGTAGATATGTCTAAGTGCTGATGCCACATGCTGCAAATTCAATGCCTTTTCACCAGCTTTAGTCTCTAGCTGGTGGCAAACAGGTGGCTGAAAGGAAGATTTCCAGCAAACTGTTCATTTTGTAATAGTGCCTCCCCTTATTCAGGTGCTACCTGCAATGGCAGCTCTGGCAAACCTGTATAGCTGYGCAACTGCAGAGCATTTCCATCCCTGTTAAGACCTATACTAATTTGGCATTAAAAAAAGGAAGAAATATATCAAAGAAATGCAGCACTTGGGTTCAGATCTAAACAGAGTATCATAGCTTACTCACAAACTTGGAATGAAAATGATCAAATGGCTTTCATCATTTGTTACATTTTCTTGAAGCTGTAGTAATGCTACATTACAAAAATACGTACATCTAAATTGACATGCCTTATTCACAAGTATTCACAGATCAGACAACACAGAGAAAGCTTTTCATAGCCACAGATGGGAACAAAGCCTCAACTCAAAGTGACAAGTTCTGTACATACCTWGTCTAACTACTATGCAACACTCTGATCCCAACTTGGAAACAAACTAGGACATTCTTATTCTTCACTTTTATTATATTATAATAATAATTTTATTATATTATACTTTATTATACTAATTATATGAATATTAGTTTTGATTTAGGTTTTAGTTAAGATGTAATTGGAATTCAATGAACTACAAAAAAATGCAGTAGAGTAGAACCAGAAGAAATTGCAGRGGATCTCCTTGCAATCAGAATATGAAATAAGTCATCAGCAGTTATTTTCTTGCACACTTAGAGCATTAGAAATGAGATAACTTCTGGAGCTCAGAGGACTTAGTGTGCATGGAATCCAACTGTGCCACTGTGACAAAGAGTAAACAACTTTTCCTCCTACTTAACAGAGAAATTCCATGTTTGCTCYAGATCACTTAAAGCTATGTCTGGTCTATCATGTTGAACAGGGTAAATACTTATACATAATAAATATTAAACAAAAATGTTCACTAGAAGAAGCAAACTTATTTGCTTAAATGCTCAATATGTTAAGTACAAACATATACTGCACATTTATTTTCTGTACCTATTTGGAGCATCTAAGATGGTACTTGATTCAGAAGAACAAAGGCACACATTGCATTTTAATCGTGTGGGTTTTTTGTGGTATCTTAAAAATAAAACTGCAAATCTGCTTCCAAATGATTTCAAAGTGCTTTGTAAACGATACACAAAATTATCTCTGTTATATTATCCTGTCTACAACACAGCTGTCCACAGTATAATTTGCATTCATTTCACATACTGGTACCAATTCTATTGGTACAAATAGAATTGTATTGCTATTCCAGTAGCAATAAATAGAGGTCTGTGTATGACACACACATCACAAGGTCCACGTGAACATGTATAAAGTAGTGCTGCGTAACATTAAAGTATAGAGAGAAAGCAAGTAACTTTCCAAATTCTGATGTAATTTAGAAAGGTAAAATGTGATTACTCATACAGGGAATTCAATRGGGAACAAGAAATTAGCTTTAATTTGTTCAACACATTCTGAATCATCCCACTGGGCTATAATCTCAGTTTTACATCTCTCCACACTATTTCAGGACTCACCAGGAAAATAATGTTTTCATATGTAAACCAAGTCAATATTTGGATTTTATCTGATGATTAGTATTTTTAAGAGAAGACTAACTGCCAAATGCTTCAGGCAGTATGGTTGACAGCTTTTAAATGAAGCTTGCTAACTGTAATTCCATTTGCAGAATATTTCAAAATATATTTCTCTTCTCAGAAGAAAACATTGATGTTTACCACAACAAAAAGGAATCAAAAGTTCTCTGCCCACWGAAGCTTTCTTCCTGAGCATTTTGCCTAATGAAATCCAGTCTCCGAAAAACTTTGAATCGGAGGCAATCCAGAGGTCACTCTGTATTGAGRGGCTTGGACAGGCAAGGAGCAGAGTTCTACAGAGCTTCATTTGGATCCCTGTTTTCCTGCTTCCTGGCACTCCCAACTATTCTGGTGAGCTAGTAAGGAGACCAGGAGGAAAATGGGAAACAGCTAGTGTAGGTTCTCAAAATTGACAAAGTACACCCTAGGAACATTTCAGCTGAACTGACAAACTTTGACAGAGAACACTATGCTGAACCTAACTGACCTTAACTTCAATACGAAGTATTTTTCTCCAGTTTATGACASGGCTATCATCAACTACATTAGGCAYAGAAAAGATCATTATGGTCACTTAGGTGTATTCAAACAGCTAACACTTTGCTTTAGTGTCAGAATATTATTTACCCAGAGAGCTACTCAAAAGCCATCTGGAGATAGTCCTGCACAATATACTTAAAGTGACTCTGCTTAATCAGCAGATTTGGACTAAATTTCAGAATATTTAAGGTTGGAAGGGACCTCTACAGATCATCTAGTCCAAATCTCCAGAAATCCCTTCCAAACTCGATCGTTCTGCAATTCTGCCTTAGATCAGATTATTTTCCAATAAGAGTTGTGATAAAATTTGATATATACCAAACTTGATCCCACGTTTTGKGAAACTGACAACATACATCTGGCACCTATAGATTTCTTCAGCTAGGCTCAACATACAACAGCATCTATTTATATATCAAATAAAATACAACCAGCATAAATTATATCRAAGATGATTTAAGTGACAATTAAAGAGGAAATTAAATCAGCTTGTTGATGTCCCTTCAGATCATTCATTGACTTTTACAAACACCTACACCACTAGCAGAGTTAAGCATGGCCTTGTCAAAATCCACGCACCGCACAGATGGTTCCTACTACACATGTACTATTCTACTCTATACACTTAAGTCTTAGTTGTCATCATCAGATAAAGTGATAATAGTTTAAAAGATCACTATCTGAAAGTTAGGGAAACTTTGGATTGTGAAGAAAAAAACTACCTTTGAAACTATCCAAGAGAATTTTTACTCATGTAAGAAAATAAGTTTATTTTTCTCTGAAGCCATCTTGGAAACATCTAAATAGTAAACAGGCCTAAGAATAAGCTTATTTCATACTTTTTTCTCTCCTCTTTCACTATGACACCCCATGGCTCTCCAGATCACAGTTACAATCCATGCTCACTACTGATTACTATAAAGTCATTAGTGGTCATTAAGACATATTATTAGAAATCTTAAGAACACAGAAATATAGAAAAAACAGAAAGCTAAAATAATATTTAAAAATCAACTGCCTAAAAATATTTCATATTAGAAGTGTCTGTGCTTAAGCTTTTTATTGACAGATACCTGCTAAAGGCATCCTTCATTCCTACATCCTGCAGCAAAACCCTTGAACGTCCATAGTCATTGGAAAGACTCRCATAGATAAAATAAGCTTCTGGAAAGCTCCTTAACCCCAAGGACTCTGTTCTCACATGAATAACTGGAGATAAAAAAAAACAAGTTTCACTTCTCAGGAAGCAGCCCATCCCTGAGAGAAAGAAACTCTGTAGAAAAAAAAGGGGGGGAAGTGGGAGGGGGGGCAGMAGCAACATACCATAATCTCTATAGCTGGGGTGAATCTTCCTCCTCAAAGTTTATAAAGCTCAGCATTAGCAGTTAATGTTAAGAATCATACTAAGAGTTAACACTGCTTACAAACCCGACTTGCATTTATATTGGCTCCTTGCTACGGACAAAGGCTGAATAAAAGGCAATGCACGATCAACCTATTAGCTGAATCAGCGAAAAAGCAGCTGCGCCAGCAGGTGACAAAGGTGCTAACTTGAAGCCTCGGTCACCTTCCCGGGCGAGTCAGCTAAACCCCTCGGATAACCTACATTTTCCTCACGTACTCCCTCCCTTCAGACGGGGACTTTCACAGCGCCTCTCCCTTTTATTTCTCTGGAGAGGAAACACGCTGCTTTCGGCGCGGCAGAGGCGCTGCTCGCACCTGTACTCACACTGCGTTTTACAGAGCGGCGAAGGCGCAGGCGGCCGAGCCGGTGCCGAGAGGGAGCAGYTCCCTCGGGCCCCAGCAAAAGGGCAGGAGCCGCGCGCGCCGCAGGCACCGTTAAGGACGGTTAACGGCCGGTAGCAGCAGACAGCGCGCGCAAGGCCGGCCCCGCGGCGGAAGGGGAAGCGCGGCCGAGGGGAAGTGAGGTTTGGGAGGGAGGTGAGGCAGAGACCTCCCACCGCCGCGCTACAGGAGGTCCCGCGTAGYGGCCGTTACCCGCCGTTAGAGACCGTTAGCGCGCGGCGGCAGCACCTT